AGCGATATCCTCCATATACGTGCTAAACGTTTTAAGTCCATCAATGTCTACAATTGATCCTGTGATAAAAGTTCCCTTATTATAAATATTTGAAATGTAACAATCCAATTAATAAAAACAAACAAGTAAAAGCAACGTTAAGAAAGAAAATATTAAAATTACAATAATTTTACATGTAATAACGCAACACCGTTTCATCTAATAATTTGATTGATCATTTTTTGTTAAAAAAATAAAAATTTTAGAGCAAATATTTCCATTGTGTTTTCAAAAAATATACAACAGTCTGTATATAAATGTTATCTTCTACTTTTAGTACAATTTGAAATGTAATATTTCGGGAAGCCTCATCAAAAAAACAATTGTTTCTTTTTTTCTTTTAACAGATAGAAGAATTATTGGTTGTCATGGAAAAAGTGGTTGTCATGAAAATAATGTTATTAAAAACAAAAAAATCGATTGTTTTTTTAAAATTCTTCCAGTGTACTGAGTAAGTCGATTATCAAATGGAATTATAAATATTAACTAATCTGTTTTATGATATTATTTAAAGCATTAAACGAATGTTAATAATGTTAATATTTTAAACTTTAACAATAATAAAAATTATCTATTTGAAAAAGACTTATTAAATGACGTATATTTGTGTTTTTTGGTGAACCTTACTACAGTAGGAGATATAGACAATGAAAACAATAATCAGCACAAAACGTTTGGTTAATTTGAACACAATAACAGTTATCATAAGGAAATGCCATATTTGTAATATAAGGTCATATTACACGTTGTTTATCAATAAAGTCCTAATGATTAATAATTTGCTTTCAACGTTATAAATACACAAACTTGATAATCGCGATTATTGCTTATTTGATTTACGCATCCTCAACTTATTCATAACAAACTGCACATCCACAACATGAGTTCATTTTATATCATGATGACAAGGTGCAGTCAATTTTGATTTTGAAGATGAGTAAAATCTTTTTGTGGTTTTTCTGTTTTTTATATAAAAATAGTCTTTTTTAAATTTTTTATCCTTTTGACAACCACTTTCTGAAAAAAAATTCAAACGACAACGGCTTTCCCGTAAATTTACTTGTTAAACAACTAACAATTTATAATTATTAAAAATAAATATATAAAAATACTTTTTTATACTTGTGACAACCACTTTTTCTTGCATCTTAACTACAAAAAAATAAAAAATGGTTACAAAAGACGGATATCACATGATGATAGTTTCAAAATATTTTAAGACCCTTAATGACTTCATTTCATTTGAATTAGTGAATACTAAATACAGAGGAACAATGGAGAAGTTTCACTTCAACCCAATACCACTCGACACAACATCAATAAAGTACTTTGTAAACGTTGAGACATTAAACATTTGAAATA